AAAAAAAAACCCTATCTCTAAAAGACAGAGGGTGAGGACTAACAATTGAGGTTGCCCTTTGACCTTCACATGTATGCCATGGCCATGGCATGTATACCCATACAAACATACACAACACACACAGGGAGTTTTAAAAGCCAGAAATCCAAAATGCTCCACAATACTTAGCGTATCATAAAACAACAAACTCAATTTCTCAACAAAGAAGACCCAGCTTTAACATGGAAGGGAGGTGGGGCTCAGAAGACAGACAGCGAGAACACGTTCTCTGCAAGCGTGAGAACCTGCAGAGAACTCCCAGCATCCGTGTAAAAAGCTAACAACAGCTTTGGGTGCCATGACCCCAACATTACTGAGCACACACACATACACCACACACACACACACACACACACACACACACCACAGATTACATGCCTACCACATATGTACACAAACACAGATACCACTGACATTATACACACCACACACACACATCACAAAGATAAGATAGAAGGGCACCCGAAGGCATGGAGTTATTATCACAAAGTTTATGTATCACCTCTAACATCAAATCCTAACTTGTTTAATTAAAAATGGCAGGCTTCTAACTTCTCTGTGGGTAGGACATCAAAATAGGTCTAACGCAGATCTTAGCTACAGCACCTGACACTATTGTCTGTAACACTAACTCCACGTTGTCTTAAGTAAGGCTCTTCTGGTAAATGACTATGGTGCCTAAATCAGCACTAATCTCAGCGCAGCAAGACTGTTATCTATGTGTCTGGCCCACCTGCCCAGTAGGCCGCCATTAGTCACATGACTCTGGTGACAGGCGTGGGTGAGACTGAGACAAGCTGTAAGTGTAAATCACACAACAGCACAAAACAATATGGGGACTCTCTTATGTTTCCTATGTAGATTATATGTTGTGATGGTATTGTGGTATTTCTTATTTAGAAGTATTCAAATTATTTAAATAAGGCTGGGCGTGCTGGCACACGCCTATGACCCCAGGTCTTAGAGAGCTACAGTAAGAAAAGCAAAAACTTAAGACCAGGGCAGTAGACTCAGATCAGCTGGTGGAGTTTGCCTAGCACAGTATTTTAACAAGTCCTAGGTCCCATTCCCCAAAACCCAATAATCCCAGCACTTTGGAAACAGAGGCAGGAGGATGAGAAGTTCAAAGTTATCCTCAGCTACACAGCTTAGCTGCTCAAGACCAGTAAGACCCTATCTCAAAAGAACAAAAACAAAAAGTGGAAGGAAGGAACAGATGGAGGAAGGAAGGGAGAGTAGGAGAGAGGGAGAAATGGAGGGAAGGAGAGAGGGAGCGAGGAAGGAAGGAAGGAAGAAAAGAAGAAAAGGAAGAAAGAAAAGAGAAAGAAAGAAAACAGAACAAAAAGCCAGATGTCGTGAGATACCTGTATTCTCAGCACTCAGGAGGCACAGGCAGGAGGAACGGACAATCTGAAGCCACCTTGGTCTACACAGCAAGTTCAGAGCAGCCAGAGCTGTACAGACTGTATCTCAGAAACCCTAGCGAGGGCCAGCAGGAGACTGGCAGCAAGAGCACTTGATGTCTGAGTTCTATTCAGAGCATGATAAGAGACAGCTGACCCTTGAAAGCTGTCCTCTGAAGCTGGGCATGGTAGCTCACACCTTTAATCCCAGTGTTCAGGAAGCAGAAGCAGGTGGATCTCTAAGTTCGAGGCCAGCCTGGTCTACAGAGTGAGTTCCAGAACAACCATAACTATACAGAGAGACCCTGTCTCAAAAAATAACAAACAAGCAAAGTTTTCCTCTGACCTACACACACATGCTGTGGCACAGGCCATGTCTACATACATACACACATCATACATCCATATAATAACAGTAAGTTTTAAAATAAATCCCTACTGTTTAAATTATATTAAACTTAATGTCACCAGGTTATTTTCCTTTAGTGTGGGTACTAGAAAAACACTAACTTAAACCTGTGGTTCAAGTTAGTTTGGGGTGTTCTGTGTTTTGTTTTCTGGTGATGCTGAGGATGGAACCCAGGGCCCGGTACACGCTAAGCCAGTTCTCTTCACACATTTCAAGCGGATGCTCGGCCTCTGACTGCTTGTGAAGTCACAGCACCTCCACAGGCAGACACCATGAAAGAACGCAGGGCTGAACTTCCCAGAAGGCTGAGCTGCACGTAGGCCCAGGCTAGTCTCCAAAGAGCTAATCTTCTCGGGGCTTATCTCGGTCTCTGTGCACACCCTGCAGCTTCAAAAAAGCAGGCAAGTGAGGTACCTGGAACTCAGATGTACTGTTCCGCAGCTGGCTCACGTTAGGCAGGGATCCCCCGTGGTACTGGGTTAGGCGCAGTTGCTGCAGCTTCTGAAACTGAACCTGGAAACAGAGAGATTTCAAGAACGTTCAGCAAAATCTGAAAGAGACAGTGTTTTGTAGAACGCTTCAAAAAAGAATTCCTAGTTTTGATTTCCTTTTCTATTTAAATGACCATAATCTTCAGGTTTACTAGAGCTTTCTGGGGTCTGTTTCATTTGGGTTTTGTTTGGAGATATGGTCTCACACAACCTAGGATGGCCTCAAGCTCCCTATGTAGCTCAGGATCCTGATCCTCCTGCCTCTACCTTCTAAGTGGTGGGATTACAGGCGTGCACCACCATAGTCTGGCTTTCTATTTTTTGTTTTTTTTTTAAATTTCTTTATGAGTTTTAGAAAGAATTTAAGAATATTTCAAAAGTCCTACACACGATGATGTATAGGCATACAGACACAATATTTAACAATAAAAACATTTCTAAAAGGAAATTAAGCTATCTAAAAATCAAAAACCTTGTTTCCTTTCTCCGCAGACTTCCCAATCCCATGTACCTTTATGTGTCATAACTGTGAATGAGGGATCGCAGCAGAGATATAACTTGCTGGAGGGGCTGTTCGCTTGTTCTGTTTCTTTCTTTCTTTCTTTCTTTCTTTCTTTTCTTTCTTTCTTTCTTTTTAAGTCTCATATAGTCAGGTTAGCCTCAAACTCACTACATAGCAGAGGTTGGCCTTGAACTCCCAATATCCCCACTCCCACAGCCACCTCTCCTTCCCAAGTCCTGGGATAGCAAGTATGCACTACCACACTCAGCCAAAACAGGTGCCATCTTACATGCTTACATCATGAGCCTCTTCTAGACCGTTACATAATTGTGTGTGTATGTGTGCGTGTGTATAATTTTTAGTTTTCTTTTCCTGAAACCATCAGAACTCATCCTAAGGAGTAATTATTAAATCTCTAGATACGGACTTACTAAAGGAGGCCATGTCAGGCTGATAAATGAACAATGGTGGGAGAGCTTGTCACCAAGCCTGATGACCTGGGTGTGATCCCCAGGGTCACATGGTGGAAGGCGAGAACCAACTCCAGCAAGCTATCCTGACCTCCACACATGTGCCACGTGTGCATGTGCGCACACGCACACACATACACACACAAATATAATAAAAATATTTAATGAAGGTCAGGCAAACAGGCATCAAGCAGTATCCTACGGATTTAGCAGCTTCACTCTTATTTACTTTCAGAGGGCAGTCAACTGTCGCAGTTCTCATGAGCCCTGCAGTGATGCAGTCTGCTTGTCATGAGCTCAGCTTCTAGAACAATGCACTGAGTATTATGTAACCCTCAGCGATTATAATTCATACAAGGAAGAAGGGTCATAGAGAAATGCCTGAGGCAGATTTCTACCCTTCCTCTAATTTCTACTCTGTCCTCTGATTACACAATAAAGTATTCCAGACCGGAGCCCTTAGGGCAGGCCAGGTGTTGTCCTCAGACACTGGTCCACTTCCCTCTGGGCTGACTCCACACCCCACATTTACAGACAGGGGACTCAGATCCAGTGTTCAATGCCCTGCCCAAGGCCAAGTGCAGCTACTTCACGCAAAACCCACATCCTATTCCTGCTTTCCATTTCTTCCTGAGTGATCATACTATGTATTATTATTATTATTTAAAATATCTGACACAGTGTAGGTGCCGGAACAATGACTCAGTAGTAAAGAAACGCATTGCTCTTACAGAGGATCCAGGTCAGACCTCCATCAGGCAGTTCACAACATCCTGCCATTCTAGTTCCCGGACCTCCGAGAGCACTTCCACACACGTAAACACGCACAGGTGCACACAGACATAAATTTTAAAATTAATTATCAAAAATTATCTAACACAATGTAAATATTCTGTAAGTGTGGTAGTAAGGAAATTACGACAAGAGAAATTCAATGATCCTACTATTTACAAAGTCTGAAAGACTCACAGTACATTGTGGAGCCTATGAATCTCTGATTTACTAACATTTACTATGAAAGCTTTCAGATACTGAAAAACTAAAGATGACCAGTGAAACCCATCGTCTATCTACCCACCTGCTTCTATGATTACTGAGACAACCTGGTTCATCACTGCCTCCTCCACTACCCTTGGCATCCTAAGTGAACTCCCAGAGGTGATAATATTCCTTAATTTAACATGCATATTCAAAAATAAGTACACATACTTTTTGTAAATTTTGAAAGCATACGAAGTCCTTGGTGCCTCAAACATGCTGTGTATAGGGAGACATATAAATTATATGTTATATATATTAATCAAAACTCAGATCTCATAGTCAAATTTGAAGACTCGGTAAGCTATTTCTGCCTATGAGCCAAGTTTAAGAATAAAGTCAGCTTTCCATTTAACAATCTAAATGCACTTACGAGAAGCATTTAACTGGCAATCCTTGAAATGCTCAGACAAGATTCTTGATTGCCTTGATCTAAAGTCTTTCATTCCTTCTTCAAAGATTCACTCAATCCACTGCTTCATTTACATAAAAACATAATTGTGTGTTAGATATCATGCCAGGCACAAGCCTACCAAGGTGCACATGTGCCAGAGCTCTTCTCTCCTGAGAGGTCCCACAAAGGCTTCAACCCTTACCCCAAGCCTCGACACTTCAGCCAGGCTCAATTACAAATCTAGCTAGGGACCTGCCTTCCACTGCACTTAAGGCCACGGCAACGGACCCCACCCCACGACTGCTCGCCCTCTGGAGAGTCTGTCTCTAGAGCCTTCAAAGACTGTGACACCAGAGTGAGCTCTCATGTGGTTAGCCGAGTCATCCCGTGCCCTTCACAAAGGATATAAGGATAAATATAAAAAATACGACGGTGCTATGTGAGCTGCAGAGACCTGGCTACTATTTCCGCAGACGTTCTCAGCTACCTCCAAAGGCTTTCCTTTATTTTGACACTTTCCTCTATTGAAATTTTGAATCATTAAACTAGAAAGAAACTTGAGAGTGGATTCAACACCTCCGTGCTTCCAGAGGATGGAATAAGGGCTCAAGCAGAGCGGACTAAGGCAGAGGTCACAGACTGGCAGCCTACAGGGACTTCTGACTTGTTCCGTGTTTTCTAGTTCAGTTTTAGGACTTGGAAGACTGCAGAAAATCCAGGCTTCGAACTTTATTAACTGAAAGAACAAACAACACTAGATTTGTGTGTATGTGTGTGTGTGTGCGCAGGCTCATGCACTTTGAATGCATAGTTGTGCATTCGTGTGGGCAGAAGTCAGAAAGCCATGGCTAAGAGTTGATCCTCTCCTTCCCCGTGTGGGTCCTGGAGCCTGGTGGACTCACGTCAGCAGGGCTGCCAGCAGGCACCTTTACCGCACAGGCATCTCACTAGCCCCAAACCCAGTCTCATATGACAACAGTGCCTGCTCCTCACCAGGATCTGGATTGTTGGGTTTGTCCCAGGCCTCACTAAACCCTGCTATCCACCACTACGGCTAAGGATTAGCTACTATTCGCCACCAATTCCTGGCCCTTCCATTCATCCTCCTTATCTACCCTACACTGAAACTTTCATTAGCAAGATCCGGCCTAAGGTCACACATTGTAGTAGAATTTCTTCTAATGCCTGTATAAATGAGATAGAATCCGCTCTAATTCTTTTCTGGAAAAGTCTCACAATAGCCAACACCATATCCTAATCAAAATCCCAGCAGGGAGCTGGGAGCATGGCTCAGCCGCAGAGCACAGCTCCGGCAGGAGGGCACCAATGGCCCAGGGCTCAATCTCCAGAACCAAACAAAAATAAAAGTGAAAAGTCCCAGCCAAGTCTTGTTTTTATAGATTGACAAGATAATTCTAAAATTTATGAAAGTACAATGACCTAGCTCAGCAGGAGAAAATTTTTAAAGATTTATTTTATTTTTAATTACGTGTCTATGTGTATGTCTGTGTAGGGGAATGCACACACATGAGTGCAGACACATACAGAGTCCAAAGGATCACTGGGTCCCCTGGGGTCGGAATTACAGCCAGTTATGAGCTGTGGGTGCTGGGAACCCAACTTGGATCCTCTAAAGAAGAAGCGCATGCTCTTAACCACTGAGCCATTTCTCCAGCCCCCAGAGTAATTTTCAAGACGGGCTAAGTTACAAGATTTAAGTTAATAGTTCCAAGATCTATTATAAGGCTATAGTACAGTGTGCTGTTGTGAAAAAGACCTAGGGTGGAGGGAATGGCTGAGTGTCAGGGCACTGCCTAGCATGTATGAATTCTTAGCTTCAATCCCTGGAGGAAAGACATCAGTGAATGTGACTGAGTACAAAACCAGACAGACAGACACACAAACACACACCCTTACTAGGGGAAAAGATTTGACTGCACAGACATCCAGTGTGACACCAGGACTGAGTCCTCCTCTGCCCTTCCCAGCCTTGTAAGGAAACTTCGATAAGCCTCAGTTTACCCGTCTACCAAAAGACGGAAGATCCAGTCAGAAAAACCACAAGGCGGTTTTGAAGACTGTCTGCGAGAACAAGGGAAGAGAGCGGTGCCTGCCAATCACAGAGCCCTGGGGTTTAGCCCAACCCTAATCTCTACAGGCTTCTTTCTCTGCTCTTGGCTCAGATGCCTCGCCACTCTGCAGCAGATCCATTGCTTGTTTTAACAGAAAGGCAACACATGGGCTGAGCTGAGGGATGCGGCTCAGCGGGGAGAGGGCCCCGGGTACACTCTTAGTGCTGGATACACTAGGTGTGGGGGCACGCACCTGTAATCCTAACATTCTAGATGTAGAGGCGGGGGGGGGGGGGTCAGGAGTTCAAGGTCATTTTTGACAACACAGTGAGTCTGAGGCCACTATTAAGGCTATATGAGACCTTGTCTTAATAAAAGAAAAGCAAGCTGCGTGGTGGTGGCACACGCCTTTAATCCCAGCACTCGGGGCAGGCGGATCTCTGTGAGTTCGAGGCCAGCCTGGTCTACAAGAGCTAGTTCCAGGACAGGTTCCAAAGCTACAGAGAAACCCTGTCTTGAAAAAAAGAAAAAAAGAAAACGAGAAAAAAAAAAGAAACAAAAATGAAACAGAAAACAATGGTTCTTTCCAACTCTTCAAGGCAAATCGACATTGGTCACAGAGCTGAGTTTCTCCTAAGGTTTCTCCATACAAGCTTCCTAGCCAAGCACTCTGAAGCTTCCAAGTCTCCCTCTCTGTCCCGTCTCTCCAAGCCTCCCAATCCACTTCCTGCACATGCAGTGGTGACTGATGGCCTGCACGCAACCAGACCAAAGGACATGATGTCCTTATCGGGACAGCAGCACCGACTCCGTGGGTGGACATCCCCTGCTCTGCACAGCAAGCCCGCCGGCTTTCCTCCTGCCTTTCAAGCCGTCGTTCAGTCTTTGACGACACCTCATCCTCTCTCTCCCCTTCAGACTGGTAGGGGCTTTGGCTTCTAGGCCCTCTTCACACTTCACTTTAAAGCAGAGGACAAATTCAAATCTGATAGAGGGAAGCCAAGTCAGTAAGGCAATCTGGAGCATCATGAGACACGCCACAGAGATGGTGGGGATCGTGGCACGCTGAAGACCACATACATGTCCTAACTAATGGGGCATCACCAGACTATTGCTGTCATGCTTTCCAAAATATGACAGAAAGGACAGTGAGATGACTCAGCCGACAAAGGCACTTGCTGCCAGGTCTGATGACATGTGTGACCCTCAGGACACATACTGTGGAAGAAGAGAACTGTCTCCTGCCCGTTGTCCTCCGTCCTCCACAAGCATGGGTGTACATACATCACCCCACCACCACCACCACCACCACCCCACCCCTGTGCAAAGTGAATAACTGTAAAGAGAGGAGCTAAAGGGATTGCTCAGAAGAGCACTTCCTGCTCTTGCAGAGGACCCAGGCTGAGCTCCCAGCACCCATAGGGCACCTCACAACCATCCCTAACTACAGTTCCAGGGGATCCAACACCCTCTTCTGGCCTTGTGAGCACCAGACACCCATGTGGTTCACTTTCATACATGCAGGAAAAACACTCATATACATAAAATAACATGTAAATAAGTATTTTTAATAGAAAAAGAAAGAAATGAGAGGAGGGTGTTGCTAAGTGATCTTATTTTCCAAAATTCAGAGGCTAGACTTTAATGTACAATCCCAGTGCTTACTGCTGACCCTCATTAAACAGACACAAGCACACAAGCACAGACAGTTTTATAAACACACACACACACACACACATATTTTGGATCAAGAAAACAAAATAAAAATATGTCAGAGAGCCAAAAACAGGGTGTAGGCCGACAGTCTGTAGTTTGTGTGTGTGGAGGGGGTCTTTTCTTTGGGATAGGGTAGGCTGACCTCAAACTTCCTATGTAGCTAACTAAGGATAACTACATTTCTCATCCTCCTGCCTCAACTTCCCAAGTGCTGAGAGTCAAGGTTGAGACACCTCAACTGGTTTATGCCAGGGACCAAACTCTGGACTCAACACAGGCACTCTACCACCTGAACTACAACGCCCTCCCTGCAGGACATGGCCTCTAAACTCTTCCCAAGCAGTCGAATTTCCTGTGGCTAAACTCCAAAGAGCCCCAAATTTGTACCAACAGCAGCAGCCAGCCTTCCTTCCTGAGCCCCAGGTCCGCACAAACCAACGCCGGCTGGAACATGCTCTCAGCGCCTCACTCGCAAGCCCCTCAAACTCAGCATCTCTTCCCCAGCCACGCCCTGCTCCGGCCAGAGTTTTCTCCACGAAGGACCTGAGGTGCCTGGAGCTTGAAGCCTGGAGATCATCTGGGTCCTCCGGCTCACCGTCTCACCGCCCTCACTTCTCCAAAGCTCCTCACACTTTTTAAGTATTGGTCTGTTCACCACCACCACCACCACCACCACCCCGCCCACCCTAGTCAACGCCACTGACCCCCTGCTGCTTGAGTTTACTGTAGCAGCCTTGAACCAGCTTCTCCACTGTGGTCTCCTAGAGTCTAGCTGCTGCTCTGGAGCTGGAGGAATCCTTTGAAGATGCAAATCAATCCAGGTTCAGCCTCTACCATTGGCCTACTATTGTTCTTGGGATCAACTCCCAAATTCCATCTCTACAACCCGACCCCTGTGAAGTCTCCAGCACCTCCCGCTCTCTTCTAATCCTCCTGCTGGACTTTAGGACTCTGCCTGAAGCACACTCCCCTCCCACACACATATCCCACCTTCCTTCCCCATACCCACCGATCCTTCAGGCCGTCAGAAGCAGCACGGACTTTCTACTAATACATGCCCAGAGCTTCAGCTGCTTCCTTTTTATAACATTCGCCCAAATGGGTCTTTACTTCTGAGAAGACTTTCTCTCTAGAGCCTAACGTCCATCAGAAGGCCCTGTTGCTTGTCCACTACAGCATCGCATCCCAAATAACCATAAAAACCCAGGCACACACTGCAGTCACAGCATTTGTGAGCACACCGAGGAGACTGTCTACCCACATGATGCACACACATCACAAACGGTCCGTTAACCACACCGGTAGCACGCAACTCACAAACATCGCACGAATGAATGAACAACACGGCGCTCTCCCCAGGCAAACCTTCCTCCACTTTCCTCCTCCTCACCAGACAATCCCAGGACCACCACGGACAAATCCTCCAAGTCCTCCCTTCTCAAAACTCGCACTACTAGCCAGATGTCACGGTGGCACACGCCTTTGATCCCAGGACTCCGGAGGCAGAGGCCAGAGAAGCTCTAAGTCCGAGGCCAGCCTGGTCTACAGAGCAAGTTGCAGGACAGCCAGGGCTACACAGAGAAGTCCAGTCTTGAAAAACCAAAACCAACCAAACAAAACTTTTCACATTGCTTCCTGTTGAAGCTGAACAACTAAAGCTGGGAAGAAAAAAATTCTCCAAAATCTCGAGCAGTGGCTCTCACCCTTCCCAGCTGTTCATGCTGTGCTGACCCCAGCCATAACATCATGTCCTTGTTACTTCACACCTGCAATGTTTCTACTGCTATGAACTGTAACATAAATATCAGAGATGAGACCCCCGTGGGGCTGCGACCCACAGGAGGATCATCCTACCTATCTGGTTCAAGTTCAACCCTGAAAGACTGAGAATCTGAAGTCTGACACTGTCTTGAGAAGAAAGGAGATACCTAGCTCAGTTTCAACGCCTGCCCATCAATCACATGCCTGCTCTAAGCAGCAAGGAAAGTCAGTACAGCAGTCGTCCAAGGACCCCCTATGGACCAAATGGATTGTTTTCCAAATGAGAATATAATTCACACAGTTGAGGCTCTAGGAGTTCTTTATGAGAAGTGTTCCGTTCCGTGATTTCTTAGAGAAAAATAATCCTTTAAAATGAAACACAAGCAAAACCTCCAGGGCAAAATCAGTGCTGTCACTTGTGCATGGGACCAAGAGAACTAACTGGGCCAGGAGAGAACACACGCAGAATTAACATGCAAAGGATTCCCTGTTCCAGGTAAAGTGGCTTCGTTTTGTAGTAATTAGCAGAAAATAGCCATTGGATTAGCCTGTAAGCCACAGTTGATCGGGCTTGCTAAGTCAACACGTTCCCACAGAGAACCTCAGCTCCCTTCAGCCAACCAGCATCTGATATGAAATTAAATTTTACTTGGATTTATTGCATTTGTAACCTTGAGTGTATGTCGTACACATAAATGTGTTGGTTTACAGGTGTATCAAAACTCTACCCAAAGAACTTCAGACACAAGTTTATGTGTGGGCTGGAGAGATGGCTCAGAGGTCTAGAGCACTGACCGCTCTGCCAGAGGTCCTGAGTTCAATTCCCAGCAACCACATGGTGGCTCACAATCGTCTACAATGATATCTGGTGCCCTCTCATAGTGTGCAGACAGAACACTGTATACATAATAAATAAATAAGTAAATCTTTTCAAAAATAATTGAGTGAACACTAAGGATCTGTGAGGTCTTTTAATGTTTAAAATCTGAACCAGGCAGGATGGCATACACCCACGACCCCAGCATTTGTGAGGCCACGGAAGGATGGCAGGCTAGAAGCCAGCTGGGCTACAGAGTGCCACCTTGTCTCACAAAAAATAGAAGTAGTCTGCGCACTACTCACAACCCCACCTCGAAGGATGATTTAAAGGGGCCTCAGAACTCACATGAGTGGCTGGAACAATGCCAGGTACACAGACACATAGAGAGCATGGGTTTGTGCATAACGTCTGCCTCCTCTAAACACCACCAAATGGGCCTTACGTTACTCCGCGGCTGTTACCCACATTTTCTCTTCAATGTGTTCTAAGCTTGTCAGACTCAGTCTAATCAAGGTCAAGAAATGTAAAGGCCTATGGATGCCGGTTGGTAAGGGGCGGCGCTGGTCAGGGCGCAGAGAAATTTTTTATTAAAACCTTTTTTATCTATTTTTTTTTTTGCCTCGATGTAGTAGGAATGAAAGCTCAGAAAGTATTTCGCTTTTCCCTTAACTACACCAAAAGAAAACGTTGCATAAATATGACAAATGGCCCCGGTGTGGGGGCGCGACAGTGAGTGAGTGGTGCGGATCGCATTATAGCAAAACAAAAACAGAGTTGGTACTCCGCTTGAGGGTGGCAACACGAGAATGCAATATTGCTACCAGGTCTCTTGATTTTTAAAATAAGTAAACTTGGTTTACATTACAAATTTATATTAGTTCAGTTGGTGTTAAATTTATATTTAAGGAAAAAACTCTCAATTTTAAAACCCCGGTAACCAATTTTTTTTTTTTTTGAGTTCCACAACACTATAGTGGACAAAAAATAGTATGTCTGCAAATCAGGGAGCAGGGAACCAGCCAGTTTGCAATCTGTTCTCACATCTCCTTCCAGCTGCCCACCCCCAGCATCTTCTCGGCCTCTGCCGTCTGACAACAAGCCTTCAAGGCCAGCACTCAGAATCCTCAAGGCTGCCTGCCCACTCACGATGACCCTCTGCGGTCCTGCACACACCCCTGCTCTCCATCCTCTGCAGCTCCGCTCCAGTTGTCCAGTCTCCCAGGCGTTTGTCCTGAATGGCTCCTTACTCCTTCCTCTGGGTCCCTCCTCAGTCACCGTCTACGCTAGGCACCCCGTAAACATCTGATGTTGAACAAAAACACACCGGACCACGTAAAGCACCTCCGAGAGGCGAAAGGGGGAAAGTCACAAACTTGTCACGGAATCACACCGTTGTACCAAGGCCCCCTGCCACTCGGGGGCCAGCCGTCCATTCACTCGCGCGTGTACCGAGCTTTCCCCCGGGGAGGATGTGCGACCCTCGGGTCCCCGAGGCCTTCCAGGCGGACAGTCAAGGGCTCGCCGGCGGCGGGTGTGCAGAGCACCGAGAAGCGGCACCGCCAGAACCCGGCGCGCCTAGGAGCTGCGTGCGATTTCCTCTCGGGGTCATCTTCCCGCTTAGGCCGCCGGGCCCCGCCGCCCGCCTCCCCCGGCTCAGCAGTTCCCAGCTCACCGCACCTCCACCGGGATCGCGAGCCGCCCTCGGT